TATCTCCAGTATGCAATCAAGGGCGAGTTTCACACCATCCGGAATTGCTGACGAGATAATTTATTGTGACATCTTTCTTCCATCCAAAGTCCCCTGGATCTAGTGCTGATTAGCTTCCGTATTTCGCCACCGTAGACTGGCTATGTGAATGCCTCTGTTGTCGGTGACAGAGAACACATGTTGGGGTTGGATGTATATCCCATCCCGTTCTTCCCCCATCCCTTTAGTCTAGTCTGACAATCCCCGGCTTCTCTTCATTCCATAAGAGAGACAAATCTCGTGACCTGTTCCATTATGTCAGTGAACTGCGCATCAACACTGCCGACGGCAAACAGGTCATATCCAGCCTTCAATGCTTTAACAACTGATCCCTTTCCGACCCCAGAGTAGCATGCCACCGTATCACATCCTGACAGCGCATGGTCATGAAAGAGACCCTTCACAATATCACCACGTATCCGCTGTAATCTTAATGTCTACGACTGTTCTACCCTTGCAGGGCAATTCCATGGTTAGTGGTATTTGGAGTAATGCACAAGTGTGTGCTGCGAGTGTGGAATGACATGGCTTTAGCAAGCGCGTCGCATGAAGACAGGACACCTTTTGAGCAAGTAACTTTGTGTTTTTGTGCAAGTGATGGCGCGGGTGACACCAGTTTCTCTCCCACCCCTTGAGACACACGATGCTTTAGTCACGATGTCTGTCAAATATCGGGTAGACATCACTCTCCCTCAGATATGTAGCATATTCATTATTCACATTTGTGACAATCTACTGAACTATCTGTTGGCCAATGAACTGTCCACAGAAGAGCTGAACCACCAATGACTGTCACATTGGCACATCCGGAATCCCTGCTTGACAGCTTTTGTTGCAGGTGCCTCTTAAAGAGTGACCTGCCATTTGCTAGGTGCATTCTTTTTTCCGTAAACATTGCAGTACGTTCTAGAGAGAGCTCATGAGAAATGACATCCCTTACATCAATGTCACGATTGCTGGACAATAATACCATCGCCTTTAAATATATTGCAGCTACCACACACTTTCAACTTACCAACTTGTACTGATTTGGAGGTTGCTGTCATGGCTGTCAGTTTCTTCGGTATAGTGTTACATAAACTCACACACACATTTATATGTAAAAAACAAAAAAACAAAAAGCATTAATACCAGCACATTCCAAGAGCAATTTGCAAGCTATCCGTTCGAGATGACGAATGCAATCTAAGAGATCCGACTTCTGCCCTAATAGATCTATAGCATATATACTGTGGACATGCTCATTGCTATAATCTGTATTTTTTATGCTTTGGGGGAGTAGAGCAATAGGCAATATCCTTTTCGAATGGGAGGGATCAAACTGCTATGTGTATGTGTGTGTGTGTGATATACACACATATACATAAACATATATTCATTAATATATATTTATATATATACATACCCGTACATATATACTATATATACTATATACATATATATATATATATATATATATATATATATATATATATATATATATATATATATAATATATATATATATATATATATATATATATATATATATATATATATATATATATATATACATATATATAACATATATATATATATATATATATATACATATATATATTATATACATATATATACATATATATACATATATATATAATATATATAAATATATAAATATATATATATATATATATATACATATATATACATATATATATATATATATATATATATATATATATATATATATATATATACATATATATATATATAATATATATATGTATATATATATATATATATTATATATATATATATATATATATATATATATAAATATATATATATATATATATATATATTATATATATATATATATAGTGTGTGTGTGTGTGTGTGTGTGTGTGTGTGTGTGTGTGTGTGTGTGTGTGTGTGTGTGTTGTATATATATATATAATATATATGAATATGTATATATATATATATATATACACACACACACACACACACACACACACACACACACACATATAGATAGATATAACGCATACATATAGACTTCCGATTAACACCTTGTCTAATCAACCCACACTCCGATAACACGGAGTTATGTATACACTATCCGCAACCTTCATAGCCTTATCAAGGACCTTCCGAATCTCACTTCCTTCTACGCTGATAATCTTTTCCTTTCTCGATAAACTCTGGCCCAAAAGCAGGATATGAAATATGTAAAAATGGCGCCAGATATTATACACACTCACACGTATATGCACATAAAATTAACAAAAAAAAATTAACAAATGTGTTTGTTTGAGTATATATATTATGTATTTAATATGTATGTATATATATATATATATATTATATATATATATATATATATATATATATATATATATATATATATACGTATATATACTATATGCGCGTATATATGCATGTGCGTATATATACGCATGCGTATATGCGCGTATATA